AAATTCTACCAATGTGTACCAGGAGACAGGTACAAAAATATTCATAGGAACATTGTTAAAACCAGAAAACTAATCAAATGGGAACTGTTCAAATGTCCACCAAGAAAAGAATTGGAAATAAGTGTTTTATTTTAGAGTGGAATACTACAAAGAAAGGGATGAACTACAGCTAACCCAGAGCACATGCATGAGTGACACACGCATAATTTTGAGATGAGGGAAGAAAAGAAAAGTCACCCCTCCCCAAGTAATCTTAAGGCCAAAGATGTAGCTCAACACTCAGATGCTTGTCTAATATGCATGAGGTCCTACACTTAATCACCAGCATTGGACCAAAGCAAACCAAACAAAACCTTAAAAGGATTCCATTTACATAAAATTCAAAAATAAGAAAATTATATGTTATATTTAAAGTATGAATCATACATGGGAAAACTGTAAAGAAAGGAATTGATTAGAAGGACAGCTCAGTGGTACAGTATGTGTTGAACATGCCTGATGCCTTGGATTCAAACCACAAAGAAAAGAAAAGAAGGGAAAGGAAAAGAAAAGAAAAGGGAACTTGAAAGGAATACTAAATGATTCAGAGGAATGGCTACCTCTACATGCAAGTAAGTTAGATATAATGAAAGACAGGCATACAGTGCAGACACTTCTTTTAGGTATATTTCTAATTTTTTTAAAAGCATAACTTTCAGAGGCCCTGTATGGTTAGTTGCCCCTTCCCCTCTATTAAAAATTTTATTAAAACTGAAATAAGCTCATGTAAATTATACTGTGTCTTCCTTTCTGATTATTAGCCTCAAGGTGTCTAGTTTCCACATTTATAAAGTGAGGATAATAGAAGTATCTACTATTAAATGAGAGAGTACATGGGAAATGCTTAACACTATGGCCTGGTACCTACCAGAATGCAAATAACTGTCATTCTATTCAGACTGTTACCTCAACCTGTGGTGTCATCCCCAACTGCCTCAATTTACTAGATGTTATCCATTGAAGGATGGATAACACTCTAGTGCCTAGAAATTCTCCCTCCTACCCAAACCCAATTCCCCTTCTTTTAAATTCCTAGACCTCAGCTCAACTCCCTATGTTGTAGTGTAATAACAGTAAGCTTCTCTTCTGGAGGGCTAAAAATCTGTTTGCAGACCAAAAATTAGAGAAAAAGAAGGGCTGCCAGGACAGCCAATATTTTGGCCCTAGCCTTTCAAGATCAGTGAAGACTCAGGACATAGGAGAATCTGTACTATATCCTGTACCTCAGTTGTGTCCCCATTTTTCTGATCAAGGAAGTTATGGGGCCACAGAGAAAAGTGATCGATGATGTAGAGTAGACAGAAAACATTCCCTCAGGCTTCACTAGGAGCAAATTGGTCAAGCAATGGCCATGACTCATCCTCATGGCTGACACTCACAAAGGATCTACAAACTTCGGTATAGAGTTTCAATATAAATCCTGAGGGGATTTGACTGACCTTATCAGATACAAAAGCCACATTTCTTGTTATATAGGTCTTGCTTTATCTTGGTCTTCTTTTTTTTAAAAATTTATTTATTTGTGTGTGTGTGTGTGTGTGTGTGTGTGTGTGTGGCCAGCTCAGCCCACCAGGGGGCAGGGCTGGCTGGCATGTGGTGCTGGGGGATTGAACTGCGGTCCCTGTGCTTTGCTAAGCTTGTTTTAAGTAGGTGCTTTAGACTACTGAGCCATCTCACCAGCCCTCTTGGTCTTCTTAACCATCCGGCAGAAAAGTATAAAAATGAAGTATAAAAAGTAAAACCATATTAATATGCTAAGCTATAAAAGGCTCAACTCAACAACTTCTGACATTATCAGTCATACAGAAAACCCACTACTATTATGGACTACTGGACTATGTTGGATTATTTTGCTGAATTCATGCACCTATAATATTTAAATGACAATGGAATACCCTTCTCTGACAAAACTAAATAAAAATGGGGATATAAATGAACAACCATTTTGTATTTGTACATTCAAAATAGTTACAATAAATATACAGCTACATTCTCTTAATTCAATGAATAGAAAGATTTGTTCTAATAGTGTTTGTGGACAGGATATCATATCTGCATCTTCTACAATGAATAACCACTAAGACAACAATATGCAATGTATTAAGTATTGAAAGTGTCCTACTAATCAATTTTGAAACTGTCTCATTGCTGTTTGTTTCTCAATAAAATTATTTTTAAAAATTCCTAGACCTCCTATTGCCTGCATCATTTATGAAGCATCTGCTGTTCACTTACCCAGCAAATCATACTGGGTACAAGGAATACAGAGATCAATAAAGCAGACATAGTTGGTGTCTTCATGGAGCCGAGAGAGAGAGAGAGAGAGAGAGAGAGAGAGAGAGAGAGAGAGAGAGAAGAGGGAAGAGGGGAGAGGAGCAAACGAAGGAGAGGGGAGGGGAAAGGAGAGGAGAGAGATGGGGAAGAGTGAGTGTGTATGTTAATCCAGCTGTGTTAGATGCTTTCAGGAAAAAGTGTTGGATGTTTTGTGAATCTGTCAAAAAAAGAAGCTCACCTAGACCAGACAGTCCAGAAAGATAGATTTATTGGAGAAAATGAAATTCAAAATGAGATATGAAGGATTCACTGATTTCTATTTTCACCATCACCAATAAATAGTTACAGTGATTCTGTAGCTTAGGTACATGTCCCTATCAATGTGTACCACAAACATGTACCAATAAGGACAAAAACTGAAAAAAAAAAAAAACCTAGCAGCAAATAATACAGCTAAAGTCAGGTGTACAAAATGTACAACATTATACAGATATTTGGAGGTATAGTAATTCCAAGGACCCTCAGAGAAAGGTTTACATAAAATGTGAAACCTGAGCAGAAACCTGAGGGAAGGCTGATCCTAAGACGAGGGCAAGGGAAAGAAGCCCTTTGGATAGGAGCCACTTGGCAGAGATAGGCGAAGGCAAGAAGCATTCAGACAGCTTGCTGGAGAGACCAGAAAGTGATACCAAAGGCTGTTAAGGAGCAAGGGTCAGCCCATAAAGGGACTTGCTTTATCTCAGATTGAGTTTTATTTTTGTATCATGCATGAGCTTCTTTGAGACTCGCTTGCAAGTCTTAAACTCCCCCTCAAAATAAAAAGTGCATTTATAAAGCTTTGTATGATTTGAAAGGTTCACAATCTCTGAACTTTCAGCTGGCAACCTCTGCTATAAACATACAGCAGGGAAAGGGTTGCAGTGAAACAAGGCCACATCCCAGAAGGTTTAGTGAGCCTCCCAAGCCAGAAAAGATAGTAACTCCAGGTAAGGAGAACAACTAAAGAACTACTGCAATGCAAGATACTGCAAGCAGGAGCTCGGATGACCCCAGGCTAAGGGGGTGGCTGCCAAAATTCACTCATTAATTAAACTAAAATTTGTTGAGTGCTTGCTCTGAGGCAGGTCCTATGCTCAGCATGGGAGACATGATAATAAAGAAGGCATGACCACTTCTTCAAGGGACTCCAGGCTGGGCAGGATCAGAAAGAAGGGAGAGCAGCAGACTCTCTTAGGACCTTCCACTGTCCATTCTTTAGAGAACAAAGTTGTGGTATACAAAAGAGCCTTCACAAAAGAGCCACAGCTGGCCTTCTGCCTGATTCTCTCTCTCTCTCTCTCTCTCTCTCTCTCTCTCTCTCTCTCTCTCTCTCTCCCCACCCTCTCCCTTCCTCCCTCCCTCTCTCTCTCTTTCTCTCCTCCACACACACACCTGAAAGGCAGCTACACTGGACTTTGTTTTCTAATCTTACTTTACTTTTCCTTAGGCTGTTATCACTTGTTTTCTTGCAATTACGCCTGGTCAAGTTGCTACCCATCCTTCAATTCCAGTTGATATATTGATTGCTCTATTCATCTTTGACCTTCACATACACTGTGCCCTGAGTTACTCTGTGGGTCACAGCCTACCACAGTACTCAGCAAGCTAACAGGGCAGGCATGCTTCTTTTTCATCTTCTGTCTTGAGGTGCACAGTTCCTGTCTGAGTAAGGACATATTTGCTCTCCCTCCTCATGTGGAAGACCAGAGCCTGTGAAGAGACCAGGGTCAGACCAGGCTTGCAGCCATTGCAGAAGCCATGGCAGCTGAAACCAGCAAAGGTAACTTAGAGACATCCTCATAGAACCATGCCTGGGACAGGATGGAGGCCATCCGAAGTTTCTGCCCGTTGCTCAATAAGTATAGAGCTTAAAAGTATAGGACAGTCACATCAGGCAACATAGCTCACTAGAAAATTGGTCTGTTTATGTGCACCGGAGAGCATGTGGGACTTGCAATTTCAGGTTCTGTATGAAGACTTCCACATTTCTTCTAAATTACCATTAATGTTAAATTATTAAGCAAAGAGGTTGCTTGCACCTGTCAAATGGTTAAAAATTCTATGTCATCTTTAGAAGTATTACAGTCACTGGACTAACTTGTGCTTTGATTCTTTTACAACTGCAGGTCAAACTGTAGTTCACCATTATTCCACCTTTGTTTGCACTATCCAGGTACTCAAGACGTTGCCAAGGACAGCTGAACTCTTCAGCTTGGCTACAGACACCACACAAGAGTGCGTGCGCACTGCCCCAGGCGGGGTAAGAATCTGTAGGTAAGAAGTCATCCCTGACTGCCCTGGCGAGGCAGAGGACAAGAACCTGAATGGACAGAACCCACTCACCAGGACAGTGACAACCCCCAGCCAGTGCAGATCTCAGCTTGGCTGGTGGCAAGGCGTGCATGGCTCAGCCTCCCTAGACCAGAGGCCCGAGTGTCCCCAGCCCTTTCCCTCCTAATGTTCACTTCCCCCCTTCTAGAGGTCCTACGGGTGCAGGCGTGGGGACACCCCCCTCATCCCCCACCCCCCACCCCCCAGGAGCGGACTCATTGGCCAAGCACCGCGGGGCGGAGCCTCACACCGAGAGGTCCGGGCAAAGGCGAGGACCACGCCGCTGCGAGCCAGCGCTGCGGGGAGCTGGACGCAGGCAGGCGGCCAGGGATGCTGGAGCGCGGGGCTACCCCTCGCCGAGCCGCGGGGCTCCTGATACTGCTCCTCCCCTACTTCGGGCTGGCACAGCCCTTGGACCGCACAGGTAACGCCCATGAGAGCTCGACGCAGCCCGTGCCCTACACCAGGGCCCCAGGTCCGGGCACCGCCGCCTCCCTGCAGCGGTCTGCAGGGAAGGGGCCGTCTGTCGGCGAAGGCGCCCCTCTGCCTCACTGGCCTGGAGGGTACGGCCGGACTTAGGAGGGCAGGGGCCGCCCCGCTGCTGAAGGCGCCTAGGTCCACTAAGAGAAGGTACAGTCTTTTCTGGGGAGTCTTCTGCGCCTTTCCTCTGCAGCAGAGATGGGGACCTCTACACCCTAGCCTGCGCCTTCTCGAGCCCCGCTCGCCCCTCGGCCCTTCCGCAGCCAAGACTAGCTTCCCCTCGCAGCCCCCGGGTTTCCTGGCGTCACTGCGCCCACACGGTGCTCGTTAAAAAGGAAGTCAGGTTGGGCCGTCTTCCCCAAAAGTGTAATGACCAAGAGTCGGTTTTGTTGTCGTCCACCAGCGCCTAGAAGGACCCGTTCTTCGTTTTTATTATGGGCTTCAGGTGACAACCCAACCCAGCAAAGCTGGTAGCTTCATGCGGGTGCTCGCCTGGGAGCCCACTGCTCCGCACTGGCAACAGAAGCCCTTGGCCAGTGCTGAGGGTGATGCCACCCCCCACACACACACACACACACCCCTCCCCCGACTATCCAGCAGCACCTGGATTTTGCTTTTACTTTCTCTTTGCCTTGGCAAAATGTGTGCCAGGTCTGATTCTTGGTCGGTCTGCATAAATGGGCACTACATGGGCTTCCCCGCTCAATAAGTTGTGTTATCTTGCCTGTATGAGGAAGGAAAAGATGGCCAGGAAGTTTTCTGAAAAACATCTACTGTGGCACTTAACTTTCTTTGCAGCCAAGTTACTGGCTGGTCTAGACCGTCTTCAGAGAGTAATGAGTAGCAGCTTCGCGAGTGTGGGTGGCGTCATCTTCTCTGCTTCAAGAGCTTTTTAATGGACCCTTGTCTAACTTTACTCCATTCTCCTTTGCCCTCTGCACTGCAAACTGTCAAGAGAGTCATTAGTACTACGGTCCTTTATTGCTGTGAGATCTAGTTTCCCTGCGCCACAATTCAAGGAAAATGGTCTCTGCAGCAACTAACCATGGTGGAAACAAGCTAGTTTTTCAATCGCTCATCTCTTGGTTCCTGTCTGCACCTGTTTTAGTCTTGTTATGTCTCCTCTACAAAAGTCAAAGTTTAGTTCTCACACACTGCTGTCCCTGTTCTGTTGTGTTGGCCCAGAGAAAACAGCTCTGGCTTAGCTCTTTTCTCTCTGCCCTACATGTCATAAGCATTTGTTTCTCTGTATCCTTCCTCACTCCTAACAGCAGCTCTGGGCGGCCTTGTCTCTCCCTGAGACCAGATTTGTACCCTTATTAGGGAAATTGCTGGAATTTTGAGCATCTAGCTGCTTGGGTAGCATGTTTGGCAGTGTGTCAGCTTCATGATGCTAGTGATGGCGTGCGCCACATCACGTGGACGCAGCTAGGTTAGGGCAGCACCTGGTCACCCGAATGCTGAAGGAGCACTTCGGTGTCTTTGGGGAGAAGCCAAGTGCTTAGCTTGTGTTTTTGCTGCCTTGAAAAGCTAATGGCTGATTCTCCAGGAGCTCCTGGGCTTCTCAGCTGCTCAAACAAGCCCACCCAGTCTGAGCTTGATGGCTTTTTGACTCCTATTGTATCACCAGGCACCCAACTGTCACTTTGGGACCTGTTTTAAAACTGGTAAACCTCTGATCCTCTCCTCCTGCACCTGTGTACTCTGCACACTTGGTAGAGACCACAAGACAGCTGAAGAGCAAGCTGTGAACGTTCCCTGTAACTATGATACTGTGATCATCACCCTCCTTGCGTTCCCAAGCCGTTTCTCTTCCCATTGGTCTGTGGTCGTAGGATGTTGACATCCAACTTTCTCCAGAGCTTTCTTGTCCATGGCTTGTAAGATAGCAATTACTAGTGATCAGATAAAGTAGGGATGTTTTTTCTTTGACAGATGTAAAAATACTAAAAATTCACTTTCAATTTATGATAATGCTGCTTAGCCATTCTCTCTCAAGTACCACTGGACTATTTATACATGAGGGATCATAAAAAGTGCTCCTAGGAGTGACGAGGCAATCAACAAAAAATATAAAATTACTCTGTACTTACCTTTTCAAAAATCTATTTCTAAATACATAACCTTATTTCTTATATAACAAATTTTCTAAGTAAAGAATTCTTTTGACACTTTTTTAATCTTACCTACCCCTTAACCTGCTATCACAGTAGGGCCACAATATTGAAGCTTTTTGATTTCTAATGTATCTTCAGGGACCCAATGTGGCTTCAGGATCTGTTTTCAAACTAGTGAGCCCAGACTTCTGGTTCTCTCCTCCTGAGACTGTGCACTGTACACCCTTGTAGAGAGCCCAGGATTGAGGCAGACTGAGCAGCTTCTGCTAAGAGAAAAGAAAGACGGGAACATCATGGCAGACCAGGACTCTCCCTAGGGACTGTATGGTGCATGAGTGCTTTAACATACATCGGATAGAAAGGCTAAATCATCTTACTAATGAATACTTGTGCTGAGTAACCAGTGTAAGTGTCAAGCATTGATACTGATTACATGGCTCAAACACAGGGCTACACCAGGCATGATGGTGCACACCTGTAATCCTAGCACTTGGGAGGCTAAAGCAGGAGGATTTCCTTGAGTCCAAGGCCAGTCTGAATTACACAGTAAGATACTATCTCAGATAAATAAGTAAACAAATAAAACACGCTTAGATTGAGGCAAGTACAATGTCCACATTTATAGATGTTGGTGTTTTAAAAACACTTGGCAGCTTCTCCTTAACATTGCTACTCCATGATGCTCCACACCCCTCTTCTAGTCTAGTTCCTACCAGACACAAGTGGTCCACAACTAAAGCGTGTAGAAAGGGATAGCGAGTACATTTGTCCTCTTCCGAAGAGCATGTATGATGCTGTCATCTAACTGCACATGCTCAGTACAAGTGCAGTTAGAATAACCCCAAACACTACTAGCAGTAACATGGTATAATGACAGTGTGTGCAGCTGTTCAAGAAGATCGTACAATGAATTTAGCAAAAGCTAGTAAACCATGCAAGGCTAAGAACACTTTTGTCTTGGGGAAGTGATACCTTACACTCCAGGGCTTTCTCCTAACATTTAGACATAGGAAGAACCTGGGAGAACAAGTGCCTTCCCCAAGTTCTTCCAGCTAAGTAGTAACAAAGGTCAGCTTCAATCGAATGCCCCCTCATTCCTTGTTCCACTACTCTTTTCACCACACTGAAACCTGCACCTACTCCACTGGACTGTACAAAGGCAGCTTGAAAAATTTAGAACTTCAAACTGCAAAGAAAGGCAGTTACTGTTTGCTAGGCCACCTGTTTGGGGTTAAGGATCATAGACCAGAATGCCAAAGCTTTTTTTTTTTTTTTTTTTTTATAACGGGGCTTTCTTTGCAGTTCAGACTTGTAATGATTCTCCTGTCAGCCTCCCCACTTCTGGGATTATGGGCATGCACTACCACGCCCAGTTTTGGTGACCAGCACAGCATTCCTGGGGTTCCAGGACTGACACAGCATGTGGTACCTGGGATTGAACTCGGGACCTTATGCTTACCAGGCAGGTGCTTATGCTACTGAGCTATCTTCCCAGCCTCAAAGTACCCAAGTTTTGAACAAAAGTGAAGGCCATATATCTTGCAGGAGTGGACTTACCTTTTTCTTCTATAATTCTTGATACTTTATAACACAAGATTTATCTTGGAGAGGTAAGAGGAAATAGTTTGAAGAGGAGGTGGGTCAGAAGAGTTGTAGAATGTGTGACTGAAGGAATTTAGAGAATGCATGGGAGTCCTGAGAACACTTTTAGTTGATCATCTGTACCTGTGGCCAGCAAAGAGAATTGCAGAGGGCTTTCCATGAAAAGAATAAAGGATGAATGCTGTTATACAGCTAAAAGTATTTAGCTGGAACCTATAAAGTGTTTTAAAACTCAAATTTGAAAGCAGAATTTGAATCTTTAAAGGTATTTTTGTTCTTCCTGTTGCTGCTGTTGTTATTTAAAACAACAGCAGAAAATTCCAACCAAAGTTCAGACTCAGATTTAATTTTGTAGTTATGTACATGATAAAATTTTCCATCCAGTTGCTATTCCCCTGTATGAGAATTTTTAACTCTTCTGAAGCCTACAAATTATTCTAGAGTAAGTTAGTAAGATCCGTGATTGTGAATCAGGGGTCAAAATGAAAGTGCCTTTTGGAAACCAAGTTTTCAGATTCTTCCACTGAACTCTGGTTTGTTGGCAGTGTTCTCTAAAATATTTCAGATTTACTGTCATTATCATGATGGTCTGTATAGTGACTTTAATTTTTTCTTTGAAAAAGCCCCCAAAACTGTTCAATTATAATTTACTGTAATAGATGCTCACCTTGGTCTATAAATTCAAGTGTGTGAGAAACAATATATCACTTTTAGAAAAATCAGAGTGAGTTTTGATTCTGGTTTCAGTTCCACCAGGTGCACAGAATTTCAGTTTCTACTACCCACAGGGTCTTCTCCAGCTCACATACAGTGCCTGGAGAAGTCCAGAGGGCTGTCTGTCCTCAGCTCCTGCAGGTTTCTTCTCAGAGTCCCGTTATCTGTCCATGCATACTGCAGTCTGGTGATGCAGACGAGCTCAGGGTGACTCACAAGTGAATCCCCACCCTTTCCCCAGGTCCTGCCACCTTCCTGCAGGCAGGTGAGGCAGGCCTCCTGTCATGGCCATAGGCTCCCACCCTCACAACCCAGGCCACTGCTGCCTCTCACCCCACTCTCCTGCCTCTGCCCTCTCTCATTTCCCCATCTTTCCTGAGACATTGCAGTGAATCAGGCTTCCACTAAAGGTCCAGGAGAGGTGGTTTTTAAGCAGATTATAATTTTTCATCACCAACTCACTTGCCTGCCCTAAAGCGGAGGAGCACAAAGGCCTGACTTCATACTTGGATCTAGGGATGGGACACTGAATGAGACATTTCCCATGTAATAATAATACTCTGCCATGGTGGCCAAAATACAACAAGACATAGCTGTGGTCCCAAATAGGCTCAGAATATTTTTCATTATCCACAGAATACCTGTTTAAGTAAATGGAAATAAACGAGCTTCTCTACCCTACTAATAAGCAGAGTATGCCTCTCATGAAATAGCAAAGCCAAATACATATGCTTCAGCTAGTGCCTTATGTCCTTGTTCATTCCATTGTCACATCCACAGTGTGAAGTAGGTACTGTACTACTAGTGAGAAAACTGACCGACAGAGGTCAAGCATGTTGCCCTGATCTCTTGGCTAATATGGAGGAGCAGAGGCAGAATGTGAGTGCAGATGGACTGAGTTCGAAGCCCAAACTCTGACGCACACTGCACTGCTTCCAGTCACCATCACTGACCTCCTTCCTTGTGTAGATACGACAGGTAATCAAGCTCTTACAGGGGCAGCAGTCCAGCAGGGCTCAGTCTTTAGCAATCAGGATAAGGCAATTTGGCCATATAATTCAGAATCCTGAAATGTCTCTTCTTACTCTGTCTTGGCCTAGGTAGTGATACATTCACCATCGTCAATGAAAACACAGGCAAGTGCATCAAGCCACTGTATAACTGGATAGTAGCAATGGATTGTGATGAGACTAGGGGTATGTTGTGGAAGTGGGTGTCCCAGCATCGGCTCTTCCACTTACAATCCCAGAAGTGTCTCGGTCTGGATGTTCTCCAGCCTGTGGATGAGCTGAAAATGTTCAGCTGTGACTCTAAGGCCATGCTGTGGTGGAAGTGTGACCACCACTCTCTGTATAGCGCTTCCCGGTACAGGTTGGCTCTGAAGGGTGGATTCGCCATAGCCAGCACGAATACGTCTGATGTCTGGAAGAAAGGAGGCTCTGAGGAAAGCCTTTGTGACCAGCCTTACCATGGTGAGTACTGGAGAGGAACTTTGACTGATGTCGTGCTTGTTGGATGTGGCACTGAGTGTGTGTAACTGAGTAGAAATGAAGCCACACACTGGTAAGGTCAGTGAGCAAGCTATTTGGTTCCTGACACTGTGGTTACTTTAGGCTGCATCCTTATCATGTATCTCTGAGGTAGGTTGTATTTGCCCTGCCCTCATCCCTTCACAGTGAGACTGGGAGAGGTTAAGTGCCTTGTTGAAAGTGGCACAATCAGGCTAAGAGATAGCTCAGTGGAATGAGCACCTGCCTGGCAAGCACAAGGCCCTGAGTTTGATCCCTATTATAT